AGAGGGCCAGGTTGCCTCTGCTCTGGAGGGCTGTGGCTATTGGGTTTCTAACTGGCAAGCCAAGACATAGGGACCTGACCGTCCTTCTCACATTCCCCCTCCTTCCCCAGCCTAATGGCAGGCCAGTCACACATTGTACCGTCTTTTTAGCCAGGTGAGTAACGTGTGTTGAATTACAACAGTCAGCACCTGCCACTGTGCTAAGGCAGAGTGTGTCTCGTGCGCCGACTGGGTGGCTCAGTTGGAGCATCGTCCCGTACACCAAAAGGTTTCAATTCCCCATCAGGGCACAACCTAGGCTGCGGGTTCCATCCGAAGTCAGGTCATATATGGGAGGCAAACTGATTGGTTTCTTTCTCACATTGATGTCGTGCCGTCCCCCCAATCTCCTCTCGTTCCCCTTTCTCTCAAATCAGTTTAAAAACACATACATATCTTCAGGTGAGGATTAGAAAAGAGTGTATCTCGTTTTAGCTGTTCTTTAAATTGACTCGAATGCAAGGGGGCTTGGCCTTAACCTGGAGCTCCTGACCTTTCTGAAATGTGCCCAACACTTTGCAAGCATATATAAAGGTGATGGAGGGAGCCACACCTTCATCAGTTATCAGATTCCCAAAGAGATCCATGCCCCCCAAACTGTTGGGGAAAGTAATGTACACTCTTAATGGCAAATTGATAAGGAAATGGTCCAGCTGGGATGGTATAGAACATTCCCAGGTGTGTTCCTATGTTCCTCTGCATTTTTCTTTGGCATAGAGCAGACAGAAGTCATGGGCCTGGAATGGACCCAGAACCTCATGAGGTGCTGCCCCCTCACTTTCCAGCTAAAGGAGAGCAGCACAGAGGGGGGGGTGACTTAGCTTGCCTCGTCCAGCCAAGGCCAATCTGGGTCCCCAAGCTGCCAGTTCCCACAGACAGCAGAGCACATGAAGGTGACTGTATAGTTCAGAAGAGGTGCCTTTGGGGTAGTGGGGACAGCACAGGTCACCACTCCTGGAAGGTGATGGCTGTTCCACCCCTCTGGTCCTTGCTTTTACCAGGTTTGAGTGATTTTTAGCTGTGCCTCCTCTACAGTCCCACTAGCCCTTTCTAGAGCCGGGGATCTTCCTGGAGGGTTTGCTGAGAGCCACAGAGAGTTGGCCTGAAAGGGTCTATGCCTTAGAACAGACAGCTTTGCACATCCTCATGGCCAGGATTAGCACGGGGCCCAGGCTCCCCTCACTGGGCAGGGCAGGGTCTTGCACGGCCTCTCCCCCTGCACAGCTCTGTTGCTCAATCCAGGGCCAGCCCTCAGGATTGCACAGAGGATGCCATTACCTCTACGTCTTGGATTCTGGAGATGGACCAAGGCATGTTGGGTCATCTCTTACTCCTGTCAACTCCCAGGGAAGGAAAGCAAGAGAGAGCTGCATTTAACACCCACTTCTTGCTTCACTTTAATGAATAGGACTGAGACATATCTGGGAAAAGTGAAAATCCAGAGTCATATCTGGAGGCTTTGTATTAGAGTAGTGGGGAGGGGTCTGTCTCTAGCTTAACATTTCCCACACTTTCCTGATAAGAATCACCTGGGTTGCTTATTAAATATACACATTATTAGGGGGTAGGTATCTGGTTTTTTTAAGCAGCGTTCCAAGCCATTCCTATCTTCAGGCAAGTTTGGGAAACAGTTTATCTACTGTAGCAAAAGTAGCCTGTGAAGAAGAGTGCTTTTTTAAAAGTTTGGTTTTACATATAATACATTAATAGGTTTTCCTTGTTTGAAGATGTGCTAACATTACAGACAAGTCTCCTTTGATTTCCTGTAAACATCCCAATCCCAGTCCCTTCCCCCTGACAGGAGGTGTCAGTGTGAAGTATGTATCTCCCCAGGCCTTTTCTTTACGTTAGAGACACAGGTTTCTGTTTTATTTTTCCTAAATAGGTGTCAGGTTGTATTTATCATTCCACAGCCTGCTTTCCTTTTATTTCAAGCTATGTCGTGGAGAACTATGTCCGTGCTTTTTTTTTTTAACCTGCTACGTAATATTCCATAGCATGGACCTAGCATGATTTAGCGATCCCCTATGGGTGGATGTAGCAGGTGCTTGCAACTTATTATTACTTGCTCCAGCGAGCATCTTTGCCCATACTTCCTTGTGTACATTTGGAAATAAATACTGAGAAGTGAAGTTGCTGAGTTAATCCATGTATCTTTCTGGATTTTAATGGGTTCTGTCGAGAGTTCTCTTTCAAAGTGGCTCTACCAATTTACCTTTCCACCAAGAACACATGCATGGAAAGGGCCCAGTTCTCCACCCAGGTGCTGCTGTCTTGCAAAAGCGTATGGATATGTGGCCAAGTAGCAACACCCATCTTCCTCTAGTACTTCCCTTTGGGGATGAACTTCCTATCACAGCTAAATTCCCATGATAAAAACACCCTGGCTCCAGACCAATGGAAGGGAGTGAGCAGTGTGTGCAAAACAGAAGGGAGGCATTCGGAGCTGATTCTCAGAGCCCTATCAGAGAGATGGAGTGCAGGGTGGGATTGTCAAACCCTCTGGGCTGCCTTGGGCCATATTATAAAACAAGGGGATTGTGGAGCAGGTCTCCCAAGCACCCCCAGTTTCGCTGCTTTATGAGCCTGTGAAAGTCCTTTAAGTGTACTGGGTTGACCTGGGGTCTCCAGTTTTGTTTGAAAGCAAGAAGGCTTCCCTGGGGTTTAGTGATAACTCTTGTCTTTTTAAAAATTGATTTGAGAGAGAGAGAGGCATCAATTTGTTTGACTTATTTATGGATTCATTGGTTGATTCTTGTATGTGCCCTGACCAGGGATCAAACCCGCAACCTTGGCGTATGGGGACAACACTCTAACCAACTGGGCTACCCGGCCAGGGCCATAGCCTTTGTCTTTCTGCTGCTGCTCAGCTCCATAGTGAAGTTGTGAGGCCAGTAGCCTGGTTCCCCTTTCAGCTCTGCACCTGCCAGTTGGAACCATGTGAAGGGGTCTGATGCCCTGTCAGGCCTCTGCCAATTCAAGATCAAAATCAAGGAAAGCTTCTCACATGCCCAGGTGGTTTAATCTGCAGAGAAGTCCCCGCTGGCTCCCTTTTAGTTGAACTGTTCAATTAGATTTGAGGGACTTGTCTGATAACTGAGGCAAAAGCAACCCCAGCAGGAATCCAAGCTCACATCTGGGGAAACTTATTCTCTCTCTCTCTTTTTTTTTTAAACTGAGAAAATCAGCAGTCTTTACTCAAGCCTCTTGCCAGCCATCCAGACTTACAGTCTGCCCTGGACAGCTTAGACAGTGATCACAGTGCCCAGTGCATGTGGCTGGGGCCTGTGGCACAGCACACATCACTCTGGCTAACTCTCCTAACACCTGGTTAAATTTTTACTTCCAAAAACCAGGACATGATTTTGCAAAAGGTCAGACAGCTCAGTGAGTATTTGCCTAGTTTCAGGTTGCTCAAACCTCAAATTCCCTCCCCTCCACCCACTTCACTTTGAAGTTCTAAGGCAAGTTGATTAAATATACATTTTAGGAACCTTCCGATTTGCTTCTTAAACTAACAGAATTCTAAACTTTTTTTTTTAAACGGAAGGATTTTCAACTGTCAGCAGGTATAACTGGAACCATATGTCAGCAGAGACTAGGGGCTTTTCCTGGTTTTAGGATTTGTAAATTCTTATTGAAACGGAAGTAAGCAGGGCAGGCAGCTGGGGGCCCGTGACAGCCCAAGCTCAGATCTCATTTTAATTAGAAAGTACAGATAGTGCCTGCTGCACCAAAGGCCTCCCAGAGATCCGTCCCAAGGCGAACAAAGATTTGGTTTATACCCTGCAAGCCTCCGTGTTTGTAAATTACAGAGCACTTCCGAGAGGAGCTGGGATGTTGATTTCTAGATTACAGAGACTGCAGCCCAGCTCCTTCCCCTGTGCTCCTCCCCAGCTAATCCCCCCAAATGATTTTGTTTTGTTGGGGAAATAGGTGCTCCCTTCCTCACTGCAGAATAGATGGAGGATGTTCACGTTGAAAGGAGACAGTAAGGAAGGCTGGAGCGGGAGACATAAAATTAGATGTCAGCCACAGCAGGTTCATCATTTTCTCCTTTTGGACTTCTGGTCTCTTGAACTCTAAGACACAAAACCCTACACCAGATCAGCGTCTGAGCTGTTCTGTTTGACAGTGGCTCACATGTATAATTTTCTCCCTGGTATGTTCTACAAAGGGTAGAATAGAAATATCAAATGAAAGACATTGCCTGGCCCAGCTTTCCCCCAGCCCCCATCTTTCCCCTGCCTGGTGTCATTTGAGCTCAGTGAGTCTCAAAAGAGGCCACGATTACTATGTCAGCATCTGGAAGGGCCCCCGCTGGGACTCAGAGCCTGACCCGGGGAGGAGTGGCAGGGAAGGCAGCAGGGGGCAGGCAGAGGGGTGCACATGCTCAGATGGTGGGCGCTCCAGCCCTGAGTCTTTCACTGATAAGCTTGACCGCTGTGTGCTGTGCTTCCCATTGGCCCCTGGCTACATGCCAGTGACAGGGCTGCTGCCCGCTGTCCCTCCTCGGGCATCACATTCCCGGCAGCTGGAGGTCACTTGTTCACCCTGCCAGGGCTGCTGCCACAAGCTGCCATTCACCGGGCAGACAAAGGGGGATTTTCCCTTCCCCTGGGTCTACAGGCCCCTCAAATGCCTTACATTCCAGGAGCTGGGAGAGAGAGAAAGCTCCTGTGGTTTCTAATTAAACCCACAATTTAAATAACAATTCATGTAACCCCAAGGGTTGAGAGAAATGCTAACCTACCCCATCACTAGAGAGGCAGCTGGGTGGCCCTGGCTGGGAGGCCGAGGACTTGCCCTTTGCCAGATGTGTGACCAAAGGGGCAGATAATGATAGAAGTCACAGTGGGTTTGTGGTGGAGCTAGAATGTGTTAAAAGGGAACAGGTTTGGTGGGTTCCTGTCCTTTCCCCTTTGATAAGTGTGCCCCTCACAAAGGTTAGGAAGGAGGAAATGGGAGGGGAAGTTGTCGTGTTTACACTTAGCCTCCAACTGAGAACGGGAAAATACGGAGCTTGGTTTCTGAAGTGTTCAAATCCCAGATTCTCACGTTCTCATGGGACCCCCATCTCTGCCGCCACTGTCTACCCACAGGTGATTCTCTCTATCCATTTGTTGTAAAACTTTGCTGTTTTCTGAAATACAGACAAGTGAGGAGGCCAGGAAGGGCCCTGGGAGCAGACAATCTGGTCAAGGGTCTGGTCTAGCCCCTTCCTCCTCAGGACCTCAGCTTCCCCATCTGTTACAGAAAGGTCTTTCGATTTGTTGCTTCCAAGACCCTTTCTGGCCCGGCAGTCTATCCGTCCATCCCTGAGCTGCTTTTGTGTTTTCATTAGCCTGTCTGGGGCCACAGTCATCTTTGCAGTGCGTTGATCTCACCAAATTGTTGTCTGATTACCCAAGGCGTGGTTGTGCTCCAGATTTGGGGGAAAATGGAACGCTGAACATAATTATCTCTAGACAAGCTCTTCTATGCCTCAGCCAGCACCAGGAGCTTGTCAGCATTTCCAGGCTTTCCACAATCTCCTTTCCAACTTTCCTCCATTTCCATTCCATTACATTGAGCAATTTACATTCCCAAAGACACCCTCCAGGTTCTTGCCTCTGCGCTTTCAACCCAGTAGCCCCTCTGTTCTCACTTCACAGTGCCCAGAGCAGGCCATGCTACATGTATGGGCTCAGAGGCCCCTCTCTTGCAATAGAGCACCGCCAGTGTGGGTCCCTTTGTTACCCCTGCAAGAATTGGAGCTTCCTGAGGTCGAGCACCAGCTCTGGTTCCTGCCTCCCCCTCTGCCTTCTTGCTGCTGTGGCGCAGGCTCAGTTTGTGTGTGTTGGAGCAAAGCCTGGCTGTGAAGCAGAAAGCCAAAGGTGGACTCACCCTTCCATCTTCCTCCCTGCAGGTGATTATCGCTGACGACTACTCAGATCCCTTTGATGCCAAGAATGATCTCAAGAGTAAAGCAGGAAAGGGGGAGAGTGCTGGCTACATGGAGCCCTACGAGGCCCAGAGGATCATGACAGGTAAGCAGAGCGGTTGGCCCAGGGACTTGCAACTCAGCAGGGAGCCCATTCCTGGACACACATGGATGGTCCCCAGCAAGCCTCAGCCAGGGAAAGTTTGTGTTTTCAAGGTGGTGGTTGGGAGGCCACACTGCATTGAGTCTTCACCATAGTTTACCAGTTCACGGTTCTCCCACATCAGCAAAAACCTGGCAGGGCACAGTGAAAGTCTGGACAACAGGATACCAAGTATGGTAACGAAGACAGGGACAGAGAAGTAACTAGGGAGAAGTGGGGGAGAGGTTCTATCGGGAATTTCTGACTAAAGAAAGACATAGCATTTGAGGTAGAAAACTTAACTTGGAGCTTCCTAGCAGCCAGGGCAATAAAAGAAGCAAGCTGGGTCACCTTCTTTCATTACCTAGTAGAAGGGCGCAGATTAGATCATTGGAGACAAAATTACCCCTGTCCAAATATGAGGAAATCTTAGTGTTGGGGCTGGAAGCAGCCTAAATCTAGCTGGTAGGTTTATAGGAAACAGAGACTTTCCCCCTGTGGCTGTTTTTATATTGGCCCTTAATGACAAAACCTTTTCAAAGCAATTGCAGTGGGGCCCAAAAGAATGTGGTCAGGTGTCCAGTATCCCGAGGGCCTCTTGTCACCAGGATAATGCCTAGAGCATCCATTATTAGCCACCACAGGCAGATGGTTATCAGCCACGCAGACTTGACTAGTGGGAAGATCTCAAGCAGAGGAGAAACCCCCATATGGGTCCTCCTGGCCCAGGCGGGCAGTCCAGAGAAGCAAGAGCACTTGTGTGGGTTGGGAGCCACCCCTAATTTTGAGGCCTAGCGAATTGGTGCCCTGTATGTCTGGGACTTGGGGTACAGATGCCTCCCTCTGCGGCCCTCTCTTCAGTCTGTTTGGTGTTCATGATGCCTTTGAGCTCTTTCTCTTTATCTCTCCTGAATTAGAAGGAAGGGAAAGGAAGCGACATTTACAGAGCACCTAGTGTATGCAGGGCCCATGCGGAATAGAAACTCGTAGCGCTGTGGAGACCGAGTAGGACACTGTTGAAGGATGTGGGTGCGAGCCCAGGCCCTGCTTCCAGGACTCTGCCTCATGCTTTTCCTGTTCATGGAAAGTGATTCTCTGGCCCCCAGTGTGTCCTCCAGAATGCCCGGCCACCCTGGGAAGGGCCAGGAGTGATTGACCAGAGGGACTTAAGCCACACTCCTAGAACACCACCCCTCGCCCTCACTCCCATCTTCCTAATCCCTCCTGGCAAAGTGGCCTCTGTGGGAAGGAGGCAGAGAGCTGAGTGTATGTTTGGGGCCAGGGTCCTGAGGGAAGGGCAGCCTGCTCTTCTCCAGTGACTCAGGGAACCAGGTCTGCTGGTGGAGTCTTCACCTCAGAACTGTAACAACTGCTCCTACCGTCACATCCCATCACCTCCCACATCCCATCACCTCCACTGGGCTCAGTGAAACAACAGCTCTGTGGCAGGACCTCAGGCCCAGCTGTGGGGAGTTTTGGCCCTGCAGCTCCAGCCATTCTTGCATTCAGCAGGCATCAGCCTAGGCCTAAAGGAGTGGCAGTTACAGGAGTGACTTTGGGACACTGGCATATTCATATGTTAAAGCAGCAAAGGATCTTTAGGGTCATCCATACCCAACAGCCTCATTTAAAAACAGGGAAACTGAGTCTAAGGAAGAAGAGAAACTTGCCCAAGGACACAGTAAGTTGGAGGCAGACTGCCAAATGTGCCTGTGCTTGGCAGGGCAGTCTTTAGGGTGGAGTACCAAAGGAAGTGTAGTGTTTGTGTTTGGCGCTGTGGTATCCGGGACACAAGGAAATGGCAGGAGCCATCGGAAGCTGGCTCCCAGGCTCTGTCCTGGGCCCTTTAACACACATGCCTCACCATGTCCCTGCAAAGAAGGTGCTGTCTTGTTTTATAGGTGAGGGAAACAGGACAAGTCACTTCCCTGGGGTCACATAAGTAGAAGTGAGGGGGTCAGACTTACATCTACAGAACATGGGGGCAGGATGCTGAAGGGGGGAGGGGACATTTGCTGAGAGCCGTTGTAGAGGACCCACCACTGCCTGGCATCTTTGGAATAGAGCTGGGTTCCTCCTGGTGCTGCTGTGGACCTCAGCGTTGAGTAGCCATTTAGCTGGGTAGAATTGTCATGTGAGACTTGGGCTTTTGGATGAGGCACATCCACAGGGGTCAGGTCCAAGGCAGTTTGAGTTCACCAGGAACCTGTTAATCTCTCATGTATTCTCTCTCCAAAGAAACATCCTTGTATTTGCCGCTCCGGGCTTTCTTCCTCCCTTGGAGACGATGCCCATATTTACCCACATTCTTTGTTTTTAAGGAAATAGGTGATTAAACAGTACGTTTTCTGGTTGTAATAACCTTGCTCCCTTTGACTTGGAATTCTTTGTGTTACAAATGTTACCAGTGACTGATGGCAGGGACAGAGGCTGGGGCCATAAATGTTCCAGGAAGCAGCTCACTGAGCTGACAGGGGAGGTGGGGGCAGAGGTGGGTGCTGGTGGCTGCAGTGGAGCAGGGAGTGGCAGAAGAACCTTTTAGGGTGACAGGTTTTGGATGCTGAACGTTTATGTGCGTGTGTGCATGTAACTTCTAGTAATGGGGTAGTAATGGAGCAGGTACCTTTGGCACATAAGAACACTGCTGCCACGTAGAGTGTGCTCTCCCTGCCTGAGACTGTGCGCCTCTGTGCCATGCAGAAGGAGCCCAGGCTGGAGTCAAGCAGTTCTGGGAGGGCCACTTGCCACTTGAATGATCCCTGGGCCTCAGTTTGCCTCTGGGAAGCAGGAGCCTTAGAGTGGGCAGTTAGGGCGAACTGGCTGTTTGACCTTGGGCAGCACGTTCCCTGCCTCTGTTTATACCTATTTATGAAATGACAGGTTAGTCAATAATAATAGCAAGGGCAATGGAGGTGGTTGCTAAGTTCTCTTGTCCTTGTTTACAGCATTAGATGCGAATTCTTCCTGGCACCTCCTCATCTCCCTTTGATGTGTAGGCGCCCATTATACCAATGAAGAAACTGAGTTCCAGAGAGGTTAATTAACCAGCCCTAGGCAACCAGCTGGCTAGTCAGTTGTCGGACTTATGGCCGAGGCCCTGTTTTAACCACTGTGCAGGACATCCTCTCCAGAGTCCATTCAGCCATGATTTGCTTCAGCTTGATTTTCAGACTCCCCAGCACAGCCAACCTGGCCTGTGATTAACCAGTGAGGTTTTGTGCATCTTTGGCTCCATGAAGCAGGTTGTGGCAGCTTTTGGGAGGTGTGCTTTTGTAAACAGTGAACTTGGCCAAGCCCCCTGTGCTGTGGCTGGGATGAAGGGCTTGGAGAGTTAAACCTGTTTCCCTAGGGGCGCCTCTTACCCCCTCCCCTTTGTCTGCCTCAACTTTCCTCTTCATGGACTCCCCTTGGTGTCACCCACAGGAGTTAGGTTCTGGCTCCAAGATTGAGGCTCAGGTCTCCACAAAACCTCACAACCCAGATGCCCGTGGGTTGCCTGGGCCTCAACTTTCTGCCCTCATTGCCTCTCTCCGACAGCAGCTCTGGAGGTACCTCCTTTAAACCCGAGGCCTCTGTGGAACCCAGTTGGAAAGCTAGTGACCCAGTCCAATCTTTCCTTTTCATAGGGAGAGAAACAGGCTCAACAAAGTCATAATCCTTTTGAGATTTTTTTTTTAACCCACTGAATAAATGTGAAGCTGTCTAATGAGACAGTGAGTTGCCCATCCTAGAGATATCCAAGCAGAGGCAAGACGGCCAGCATTGGGAGGTGATGTAAAAATAGTAAAGTCTCATATGGGTGGCTAGCTCAAGTGGCCTCTGAGGTCTGTGTCAACCTTGAGCTCAAGATACCATGAATCACTGTGTGCTGCCTCATCATTGGACACCTGGGTCCAGCCCTCGAAGGATGCACCTGAGACCAACTCCAAATAGGCGAGGATCTGGTTAGGGCTGGCAGCTTCCCTTCTCAGTGCCAGCCTGGCTCGTGCTGCTCAGTCCTAGTGCCCCTTTTTGTTTTGCTTGGCCCATCTCTTGAGGTCAGATTCTGGTCTTGGTCTTTTTTCTTCCCATCTGGGCCTCAGTGTCCTCCCGTGTAAGCTGAAGAGGAAGAATCAGATCGCTTCTGGGTTTCCTTCCTGACCTAGTGTCTATGTATGTGGTGTCCCCAGGCCAAGCCTCCCAGTGAACCAGTAGAATCAGGCCACCTCCCTCCAAAGCGGGGCCATTCTTCCCCTCTTCATCCCAGACTTGAGGGCCCCAGGTACATGGAGACCTGCTGATGTGTGGGAAGGGTGCTGGGTTCTGAGTCAGGACAACTTGGGCACCTGGGTGGGTCAGGATGCTTAGCCTACTGAGGGCTGCAGCGTCCTCATTATAAAGTAGGACACGCAACCATGACGTAGCCTCGGATGGAAAGAGCAAACTTTGCACGTGTGCGTGAGATTGTTGTTATTGGGGAGCAGAGGCCCTGTTGGTCCTTCACTTGCTATTTGGTTCTGTTGAATTCTCTGACCAAGCCCTGGCCACCTAGAGGTGGGTGGCCAAAGCAACAGGTGGTCCTTTACGCCCTCAGCAGTGGACTTGGTCAGCTTGGCCTGGAGCCCTTGCTGCACCCTGTTGTTTTAGAGACTAGACCATGTAACCTGGGCAGATCCTGCCACTGCCCACAGGAATTTCCATAAAGCAGGGAGACAGGCATGGATCCAGGTGCACGGAGGTGAGCATGTGAATCTCCAGAAATTCACAGAGTTTGGGTGATCCAAATGGGGTGGGGGTGGGGTGGGAGGCGGTGGTGATGAGAGCTGGATCTGGTAACCCAGGCAGAGGGAAGAGTTTGAGCAAAGGCATGGAGGTGTGGGATCTTTTTGCTGGAGAGGAAAGGCTGGAGATGAGGCTTTTGATAGGAGAGGATAATGATAGGAAGAACATAATGATAATGATGGAGCAAGAGCTTCTAAAGATTG